GCGCATCAATCTTTGAAAGAATCAAGTTATTTACCTTATCTACTTGTTCGTTAGTTGGTGACAGAATCGCTCTTTCTTTAAACCAAGATATTGTCTTATAACTTATATTATCAATGTCAGGATAGACATTGTTGACTAACTCTTGGATGTTGTCTATCAAAACACAAAGGTTTTCTAGGTTAATCATTCCCTCACTTTGTGTTAACTCTCCATTGCCAACTTTTAGCAGCATCTCTGGAAATAGCCTGTTCTCACGTGAAGATGACGAAACCCTCATATTAGTTTTAAGCTCTAATTTATTGACATGTGGCCAAAGGTTGGGTCTTTTTAGGGAAGCATTTATTTTGTCAGCACGTGTTCCTCGAGTCACAACTGGTAGGATTTGACGGAAATCTCCTTAGAACAGAATTGTACATCCATAGGTGAATTTTTGTTGTGCAAATCGCGCATTGTCCTATCCAATGCTTCCACAGACGTCTTGTTTAAAATGGTAGCTTTGTCCCAGACTATTAATGAGCAGTCATGCATCAATTATCCTCTATTGCTCTGTTTAAAAACACTACAGGCGTTGTTATTATCATCGGGGGCGATTTTCAGCGGGAGCTTGAATGTAGAATGTGCGGTTCGGCCTCCTTCCAAAAGCGTAGCGGCAATGCCGGTTAATGCAACAGCTAACGCAATTTTTCCGGTAGATCTCACTTTTTTTAAAAGCAGATTGATTAAAAATGTTTTTCCTGTACCTCCTGGGGCATCAAGGAAAAACAATTTCCCTTCATTGTTATCAATTGTTGATAGTAATGCAGTGAATACTTTTTTCTGATCGATGTTTAATCGAGGCTCATCTTGAGCTATATTTTGTAAAAGTCTTGTTTGAATGTATGATGTTTCTCTTGTGTATTCGGCACTGTTAGTTAAAATCTGAGTTAGTAGTATTAGCTGGCATCGGCAGCCCAAAATCCTTGATTGATTTACCCGAAAGTAGTTGCACTACTTTGTTCAATTCAAATAATGCTTTGTCAAATATGTTTTGATCATATTGTACATCATCTGAGTTTAACTCTCGCCGTCGCCGAATCAGAATATCACTGGCCATATTTTCTTGAAATTTATTCCATAAATTAACAGAATAAGTTACTTGACAAAATGCTACTATGACGGCAAATAAATATCTTAATGATGTAGCTGAACTACAAACAGCTGCTCCCAGAGAGAATCGTCTTCCAAGAGCCCCATAGCTTTGCATGCTGCTTGATAAGTATTGTAAACAACACCTTGTACAGTTCTTAGGTGTGCAAAGGATGTCGGGCCTTTTACAATATACAGTAACATTCTCAGATAAAAGCATTCGCTGTTGTTGGGATGAATCACGTAGACTCTGCCAAGAGCATCTGTTTTTTTTTTACTCCGGGGAAACCATCAACCGCAGTACCTTGTTTTCGCCGAAACAAGGAAACAAGGTACTGCTTAAAACTAATATGAGGGTTTCGTCATCTTCACGTGAGAATAGGCTATTTCCAGAGATGCTGCTAAAAGTTGGCAATGGAGAGTTAACGCAAAGTGAGGGAAGGATTAACCTAGAAAACCTTTGTGTTTTGATAGACAACATCCAAGAGTTAGTCAACAATGTCTATCCTGACATTGATAATATAAGTTATAAGACAATATCTTGGTTTAAAGAAAGAGTGATTCTGTCACCAACTAACGAACAAGTAGATAAGGTAAATAACTTGATTCTTTCAAAGATTGATGCGCCGACGAAAAATATACTACTCGGTCGATACTGTCTTGATTTGGAAGAAGCTGTTCATTTTCCTACAGAATTTCTAAACTCTTTGAACCCATCTGGACTCCCTCCTCACAAAATGGTGTTGAAAGTAGGTTGTCCTGTTATTTTATTAAGAAACCTGAATCTACCTAAACTTTGCAATGGCACGCGTTTGCTGGTAAAATCACTGAAAACTTTCATAATAGTACTGAAAAGCACGTTTGAAAAGTTTTAGAACTCTGGTTCCATGTATAGTAACTTGGAACTCTGTCATATGTCAGTGTTTTCACGAAATCATCTTGAGCACATAACTTGAAGAATGCTGTCAATGTTGTATCCCGCAGGTTATTAACAACTTCTTGTATATTGTTCTCAGTGAAATGTACTCTTTGTCCATTTTCTAAATGAACTGCAAGGTGAACAATTGTGGGAGCCCAGTCGTGCACTTCGAATGATAAAATCCTCCATACAGCTTCAGAGCTGCAGATGTAACGTCCAGACTGATATTTTCCCACTTCATTTGGTGATTGTATGCTGAAAGTGGCTTGATCACTGCCTTTATTAATGTATTTAGTAACATATTGAATTGACTCTATTGAATTGCACAACTCTACGTTGATGTGGGCATAAAAAATTTTCAAAAGGAGCGGATTATAGGGAACGATCCATCGGTTATCAATATTATGGTTTCAGACGGTACCATTTTGCCCACCCTGTTCTGGCGATCGTCGACGATGTTTGGGATATCCGTCATCGCTAGTACTTGTTTGAGTTTGGAACGACTTCGGAAATTTTTTGTTGCATTTAGAATCTCGCATACATGGAGAATTCGGGTTTAAAGTCCCGCAAGGGTCGTGTACCATATGTTTCTTTACGATTTCGTACAGGATAGGATCTTCATCTTTATCCGGTAATTCAACTGAAATAAACCTGTCAATTTGGTTTGGTCTAATTTTGTTCACTAACCACACCAGCAGGTGTACATGTGGCAAGCCACGTTTCTGCCATTCTATTGTGTACATATGACAGCGCGGCGGACCGAATATATGAGACTTGTTAATTAGGTGCAGGAGTTTCTGTACTTTTAAATGGAAGACTCTGATAACTATATCATATCTGTCTTGTGGAGTTAAATTGGTGTTAATATTTTCTTTGATTTCCGGCCAATTTGGGTTACATGTTGCAGTTATAAATAAATCAGGTTTGCCGTAATTTCTGACGTAAGTCATGGCGTAAAAAATAATTTGCTATTCATGCGACTAAAAACAAAAGATAATCAACAATCATCAACAACAAAAGATACGTATTCTATAAGTTCTTTTTCTGAACTTACATACCTCACCTTAAATTACGATTTTTGAAAATAATTTCCCTAATATTAAATTGATTTAACTCTAAATTTTAACCAAGATCTTAATAGAAAATTCCAATCCATAAATTATGGTTTTATTTAATCTAATCTTATCTAACCTTATGTACTTATAATTACTATAAGTGCGATTTAAAAATTAACCTTTAGAATAGAATATCATTTATATTTTAAACTACTATCATAAATTATTTATCGTAACTTACTTATAATTACCGATACGTTGTCACGCTGAAAAGCACGTTTTGATTAAGTTTATTGTTATTTTCCTCGCTGGACAGCTCCGATAATAAACGCGTCCGATCGCTGCTAAATTCAAAGTGCTATAGGGAGAGAATCGTCTTTTCTTTCCTTTTCCCACTATTGCCGTGTGTAGCTTGCTGATAGCAAGCTGTATACCGGCTGTCATGAATTAAAAAGTACATTGCAGGTATAGCAAATGCTTGAGTGTGTCCGGAGGACAGGATGCAAAATGAAAGAAGGTGTGACTACTTTGTCACGTGAGGCTATAGCGGTGTCTGGTAGGCTGGAGAGATGCTGGTCCGAGTTTCAGGTACAGTGTGCATTTTTACAAATATTCAGTGCATAAACTCATCAAAGTGCATTTTTCTCACAACTAGAAAGACTATATACAAAAGTAAAATTCCGCAGGGAGTCCAGCAGAAGCAGTCAAAGATATCTCTTAGTAGAGGTCTTTTGATTGGCTGTTGAGACGTGTATGCGAAAATCATGAGAATTTGCTATTTACAAAATATTCAATTGCAGAGACATAAAAAAAAACATATTTTTCCAGTAAACTAGAAGTTAAATTAAATAAAATAAAAGAAATTTGAAACCAATAGGAGCAGTGAGAGATCTACAGTAAGCAGTAGAAGACTTTAGTTCGTAGGCCCGTGGGAGGTCACCCTCCCGTGCCTTGACCCCGATAGTGGCTGCTTAACTTTAAGCATTTCAGTTTTCCAAGTAAACACAGGGTAAAAACTTAGGTTGGAAAGTTCTGATTTTCATTGAGGATAAATGCAGTAAATGGAGAATCGTGGCCTCTGACGCGCTATTTATAGGCACGCTCTTGCCGCCGCAAAAGCTACATCCCGCAATTTTTAAATCTGTAGACCTTTTCAATGTGTACAATACTTAGTACATTATTTTGATAAATCTCGTAGGGTTCAGCCTGCGTTTGCAATGTAAGCGGAAAAAATGTAATTATTTACGACATCACATTAGAAACCTAAAAAATAACAGTATTTCTCCACTATTTAATGGATGTTATTATACATATAAACCTTCCTCTTCAATCACTCTATCTATTAAAAAAAACCACATCAAAATCCGTTGCGTAGTTTTAAAGATTTAAGCATACATAGGGATATAGGGACAGAGAAAGCGACTTTGTTTTATACTATAACAGTATTTCTGCACTATTTAATGGATGTTATTATACATATAAACCTTCCTCTTCAATCACTCTATCTATTAAAAAAAAACGCATCAAAATCCGTTGCGTAGTTTTAAAGATTTAAGCATACATAGGGATATAGGGACAGAGAAAGCGACTTTGTTTTATACTATGTAGTGAAGATAATATATTAGAAATCAAAATTGTGAATATATTATCTTTATTATGGTGTCTTCCCATGTTCTTATGGTTTGGTACTCTGTAGATATGTGTCATTCACAGAAAGCGAGAAACCAACTTCTACTCTGAAATTTCTTATGTTCATTAGATAAGATAACAATTAAAAGAATTGAAAGTGTTTTTGTTTGTATAATTCCATTTTATTTTAAGAGAGATTTGAGGTGTTTTAATATACCAATTGCTTAAAAATATTTCTTAATGAACATATTAATTTTTTGTTTTACTTTTAGAATCTACATTTGGCTAAGAAAAAGGCGGTGGCTTTCTTAGAACAACATCTTGGTGAGGTTAATGAAGCACTTCCAGTGGCAATTGTTGCTTATGCCTTAGCTTTAGGTGAGAGTGATTTAAAAGATGCTGCACATGACAAATTACTAACTTTGGCAATGCATGATGAAGGTATTTTTTTTTTTTTTTCTTTCTTCCTTTTTCATCACTGTATGACAATTATTTAAAGAATTTAAACGAAAATTTTTATCGTTGAACTAAGTGTTATTTAAATACATATTGAATGTTTTACTTTGAATGGTTTGCTCTGAGTTGAATATGGGATGACCTTAAATGTTTTATTTTTACTTTACAGTATTATTGCCAGTTACTGCAGCTATCAGTGCATAATTAGATAAGGTTATATATATATATATATATACAGTGTCTCACAAAAGTGATGGGACACTTGTGCTTTACAAAAGGAAACTGTAGTAAAATAAATTTAAAAAAACATGTAAAAATTTTTTGTGGGTGTGTTTCATACTTAAATTTAGTAACAATTATTACATAACATACATTTTCTCAAATATTAAAAATATTAATTTAATAAAAATACAATTGTTTAGAACGGAGCAAAAAATGGCTCACATAAGTGATGGGACACTTACTTTTCCATCAAATATTTATCCAAAAATTTTACTTTTTAAAAGGTTTTAATATTTTGTTGGATTATCCTTTTACTTTTTTAAAACATGATTTAATCTTCTTGGGATGGATTCGACTAATTTTTTTGTGATTTCTGGAGTGATTTTACCCCATTCTTCTTGAAGCACCGATTTTAATTGTTGTTTTGAAGAAATGGTGTTTGCGAATTCTTGATTCCAATTTTTGCCAAATATTTCTCTATGGGATTTAAGTCTGGAGATTGTGGTGGTGTTTTTATTATTTCAGGACAGTTATACAGCAGCCAGAGTCTAACGTTCAAAGCAGTGTGCTTGGGGTCATTGTCCTGGTAGAATTTAAAATCGTTATGAAGGTTCAATTTTCGTGCTGAAGATTTCAAATTTTGATTTAAAATGTCAATATACTTGTACTGATCCATTATACTGTCAATAAAAACAAGATTACCAACTCCAGCGGACGACATACACCCCCATACCATAACTCCTCCTCCACCATGTTTTATTGTTGGCACCAAGTTCTGTTTGCGAAATTCTTCCCTGGGTTTTCTCCACACCAAGATTCTACCGTCAGAACCAAATATATTAAATTTACTCTCATCAGCAAATATAACTTCATTCCAGTAATCAGAATTCTTATTTATGTTGGATTTTGCGAAAGCCAGTCTGAGTTTTCTATTCTTTTCACTTACGAAGAATTTTTCCTGGCTGCTCTACCGTGATATCCAGCAGATCGAATTACTCTTCTAATAGTCTCAGGATTAACAATTACTCCATATAATGCTTGTAAATCAGCAGCAACTTTAGGAGCACTCATTCTTGGATTTTTTTTTAATATTTCGAACGATAATTCGCTTTATTCCATTGGATAGCTTTGATGGTCGGCCAGGTCTTCTTTTATCCTGAATCATATGATTCTTTTTATATCGTTTAATGATATTGAAAACTGTTGAAGAACTCAAGTTAACTGTTTCAGCAGTTTCTCTAATAGATTTTCCACGTTCAATATGCAAATTAATAACTAATTTTCGAATTTCAGGCAAAGTTTCTTTTCGTTTAGCATTCATGGCTGCACAGAGCTAAAAAACACAAAAATTCCAAAACAAACTGGAGAGAAATACTGCAGACGATTTTATAAATTATTGCCAATTGCTTTTGAGTAAAAATAAAAACCCAAAAAAAAAATATTTTATTGTAGTACGTAGTAGTATCTAATGGTGTGTCCCATCACTTATGTGAGCCATTTTTTTGCTCCGTTCTAAACAATTGTATTTTTATTAAATTAATATTTTAATATTATGAGAAAATGTATGTTATGTAATAATTGTTACTAAATTTAAGTATGAAACACACACACACAAAAATGTTTACATGTTCTTTTAATTTATTTTATTACAGTTTCCTTTTGTAAAGCACAAGTGTCCCATCACTTTTGTGAGACACTGTATATGTGTGTGTGTGTATCAGATAAAAAATATGTGAATCAAAATTATAATTTAAACTAATGGTAACTCTTTAATTCTCTTTCTCGGTTCTAAAAATCGTAATAACTTCTCTTGATTGCATCATTTCTAGATCATTCCTTTTTGCATGTCCTGTGCAGCACTGATGATGTAATAATTGGAAACTGAACCTTTTTAACTCAAACCAAAACCCTTCTCTTCGTGTGCTTACATATTAGAAAACTACACACTTCAGCTTCGCTCTCTACCCTGCTTGGATGCAATTTCACTGGCATGCTTCCTATCGCAACAATATTAAAAATGTAAATGTTCTTGAATAGGCATGGCTAGAGAGAGTGCTAAGTGATTGTGGGCACAAAAATCAATTGCAAATAAAATCAAAATCGCCTCAACTGCCAAGTTTTTTAGATACTACAAAGTCAGCATATTAGCATTCTACGCAACCGGAGTGCTTCATCTTCAATATGGATCAATGATCTTTCCTTATCTGGTATTATGCATCAGCAGTGTTCTGTCTCTTCCTTGTGCTTTTATTTCATGTGTGTATATATTACACACAAATGTGCAAAACTTAAGCCTTAAATGCATGTAGTTGCCATTTGGCAACATACTCATATTTTACCATGTAAATCAAATCAAAACACAAATTTTAGCTTACTGCATAGTGTAACCAATTGTATACATACCATTCATGTACATAGCTTTGAAAATTTCAGTGTAATAGCACCACTAATGGTGTAATGGTCATTATTCTGAGTTGATGTGTAGGGTGGGGATATCATTTGTGTTTATGCATTTTTGATTTTGTGTTTGTTGTTATTTTGATGTATTCAAAGTTTTAAAATTGTTTTAACAAGTTTTTAAGGTATACATTATTACAAATCTCTTTTTTTGTGAAAGTTAATATTTTTTTAAAAATTGGAATATAAACTTAGTTCAGTTTTAGTATTTTTACTATTTTATTTGATATCAATTCTAATGTATTTTTGACTTTAAAAATAAAAATAAAAATTCATGCATAACAAATAAGGGTTAAGCAACTTTACTGATTTTAGTCAAAATTTCACAAAAGTCAACTGAGAGACATAAAATTCATGCTTCAATGGCACAAAGTAGTACTTAGAGGATGAGGAAAATATAGTAGCAAAAAAATGAATAGGATGCATTCAATATGGAACAAACAGAAAAAGACTTTGTTGACAGAATAACGCTGGTACAAAAAACTGTTTCACTGAGAGGAAAAACAACAAACCAAAGTGCCTTAGTAAGGGATATGACCTCTCCTAATTGCAATGGATGCATTGCAACATCTGCTGATACCCAACACCAGATTATCTAACATTTATTGGGGTAAGAGTTCCTATTCTACGAGGAGCATTTGTTTCAGTTGTCTGGTGTTATCTGAAGGGTAAGATCGTGCTGCCAGGGATCTCTTTAAAGTATCTCACACATTTTCAATGGGATTTACATCAGGGAGCACACTTGCTAATGCATTCTGTGGATATCTTCACTTTCCAGGAGTTCCTGAACAGCATGAGTCGTGTATGGCCATGCCTTGTCATCCATAAAAACAAAGTTGGGACCAATGGCACTCTGGGAAAGTTGCATTTTGGGGAGGATAACTTCATCACAGTAATGATCTCTGGTGATTTAGCTTCTATCAAAATTGTGGAGTTCTGTCCATCTTAATATTTGCCTATACAAGCATACCAGGACCACCCCATTGGTATCTTTCTCTAATGTTATTGGGATGTAAGCATTCATGTACATCTTTCCATGACAGCAGGAACCGAGAATTGTTTGATTTATCAGATTAAAGGGACTCATCTGTAGAGTACATGATTCCACTGCTGAGGTATTCAGTCTTTTTATTTTCTACGTCACTATAAATAGTGCCGCTGGTGGGCTGCTCTCAATGGTATGCAACGTTTAAGACGGTGGGCGAATAGGTCACCTTTATGAAGTTGTCTGCTTACAGTAAACTGGGACCCCTGTCGTTCAGCTGTAGTGCACAAGTGGTGAGCAGTGCCATTCGCTGTCTGGCATCAATCTCTTCTTGCCTGCAGGGCAATATATTGGTCATCAATCATTTTTGTTTTCCTTGGCTGACCACTAGCAACCTGTTTTACAACTATACTTGTCTTCTGGAAGACTTTCCAAGCTTGCAACATGACATTTTTGTCGGTTCCAAACTCTTGAGCAACACACATCAAACTATGCTCCTTCTCAATCATTCTACCACATATAAAGGCTTCCAGATGTTTTCTTGTAGCCATATTGCATGTACATTCTCACTTGCAGAAGAATGCCTAGAAATGTGCCTGCCTTCTTTTTAATTTCTCTTGCATTATTCACGCTGACTTTTCATGCTTTGCTTGCCTTTACGTACCTTTTGATGTAATGGTGCTGATATTTGCATGTGCATCACCTTTCTACTAAGTTGGCTTTTCACTGTACTGATTACAAAAACCCCTTTTCAATATTTTCATGGTTGTATGTTGAAAAATGAATTTGTTGCTTCAATTCTGCACACTAGTGTATACAGTACAAAGTCTGCAATCCGAATGTCCGATATCCTGAATGATCTAAAATCCGGACCTAAAAACCAACGTTTTCCTTGTAGGCTTTACGCATGCACATTTGATTCCCCCTCTTCCGCGCATAATAAAACATCTGGAGAGTCCAGATTGTTAATTTCACTTCAACATTAAATAAAATACCTTGTTATTGAAGAAACAATCATTTTAGTATAAATTAGTATGATCAGTAATTTGTATTCATTGCTGTTCATATGCTTGGCACACATCTCAAACCAAAACATTTCACATAGATGCATCATTGATCTGATGCCAACCTCGCGAATCATTATTTATTATACTTTCCTTTCATCACCGCATGTTGATCAATACATGACAACTTTGAGTAATGACTCATGTAGTGATGCCTAATTTTTTTTTTTTTTTTTTTTTTTTTTTTTTTTTTTTGTTAGTAATTGAATAATAAAGGAGTATGGTAACCTTTTATATTGACATTAGGCTTGGCAATAATTACAGATTTAAGTTAAATGTGCTAAAAAATGTTGACGAGGAAAAGTTTAACAAAAATTTTTTCCCTATGCTAAAAATAGATTTTGTTGATGATACTCATAGACCAAAGGATTACATTTAGGGCTGTTTGAATTAACAGTAACTGATTTGGTGCCAGGGCTCATGTTGGCCACACCGGCTCGCAAAATTTAGACCCCACAAAGACTGCATCAGGTGTTAAGCTATCTAGCGCCGGTCCTCAGTAAGGCTTGAGTATATGTGGAAATTTATTTATTCAGAACTGTGATGAGCCTTAAGCATGTGCAAGAAATAGACATGTGTATGATAAATAACTAAACTAAATACAATTCAGGCTTAATTGTCTCAGTGCGCGATAGAAGCAAGATAAAATTTAATGGAATAACTTGCCGTTAGTCGCCAAGCTCATGTCAAATATGTGTAATGAACAATAGCTAAATTTGATGATGATAGCCACAAATTTTAAAGGTTTTCGGATATCCAAAGACAAAGATGAAATTTTCCAATTAACGAATTTTGTAAAGAAATGTGGAGAAGCGGTAATAAATGAAGATGATACAAAAGAAGTTTTTCATTGTGATGACAATGCTTCTCAATCATCAATCAATTAATGAATTGCGAAATCTGTAGTATGGTTCTAGATCCAGAAAATACAATTACTGATAGTGAAGAAAGAGACACAGAAGTTACTGAAAACGAAAAAATTTTGATTGACAAGTTAGTCGGAATTCTCGACATAGCAGTTACAAGACTTTAACAATGTAACTGAGCAAGAGATTATGTCTGTTTACAGAATTTAAGAGACAGTTTTAGCACAAAAGAATGAAGCAATGTAAACAACTTACATTGAAAGAAATGCTTAATAAGATAAACAAATAAGTATTAAGTTTTTTTTGGGGGGGGTAAATTTTGATGCCTTTTAGTTCATAAATACTCCATTATTTCATAAATCACAATTTCATATTTTTAATCTTATAATTTCTACATGCCATCTTACTAGATTTAAACTGATTATCTAATATCCGAAAAAATCCAGGATCGCCCAAGTCCGGATTTCAGACTTTGTACTGTATATACATATGTAGCATGTCTGTAAAGATTTAGGACTGAGTACATAACAAAATGGAAAAGTTGAAAGAAAGGATAAAAACTATGAAGAAAGTATATAAACTTTGAAATCTAACTTTTTATACATTTCTCCAGTCCTTGTACTTGTTTAGGAAAATATTGCACTCATTATAAAAAATAAAACAGGAAAAATATGACACCCATAAAAATTGACTGAAATATTTGATTTTAAAGTCAGAGATCATGTTCAGGCGCCATACACAAATTGAAGAGCAAAATGTTTGCATTGGTATGTAATTTATTAATAAAATATCAGCTTGAAAAGTGTTTTCTGATTTTTTTCTATGCAGATTATTGTCAAAAATTATTAGTCTAAATTATTTTCAAAATTAAATCTTATTTACAGAATCTTGTACAATCCATGCCCTAGAAAGCACTGGCAAACTTCAGTATTGGCATGCAGCCAACTTGTAATATTTGCATTAATTTTTTTTTATGTTTACCAAATTATGATTCTAAAGTAATGAAATTTTATGAGAATATCAATGATGTATTTTTAGACTCTAAGAAATCATCAACTGTATGAAAAATCTTTAAAATATCAAATGTAACAAAATTATAAATTACGTACTTTAGCAAATCATAAATGAATATATTTGAATGTCATTTATGGGAGGGGGGAATCAAATGTCAAAGTATTCTAATTTATTTATTAGATGATCTTTTAATGCAATGATGTTGGAAAGAAAACAGGATTAGGAATTTTTATATTAAATATCTTGATTAGTTTTTATCATGCATGATGTCGAACTTTTTTGTATTTTATTTTTTATGATGAATATAACATTTTTCTAAATTAAAGAGATTAAACTTTGCATTTTAAAATCTAAAACACGAATATTGGCATCATTTAAAACATTTTTGTTATTGAAAGTATATGTCTATAACTGTTAGTTGCAAAAATAAACATTAGGTTATGTCTTTTGTGGTTATGCTGTGTATGAGCATAAAAATTAGAGGGTATGCATATATATATTAGAGAGATTGTAGACTTTTTTAAATCTTATTAAATTTTTTGTCATTATAGATTTCAATTTTTATTTATATTTTAGATGCAAACATGTTGTATTGGGATACAGGAAATCCTGCCAGAAATATTGAAGCTACAGCGTATGGTCTCTTAAATTTACTGCTTTTCAATGATATGATGAGAAGTGCTTCTATTGTCAATTGGCTGAATTCTCAGCAATTACAGTCAGGCTCTTTTCAGTCCACTCAGGTACACCTTTGTTTTAAAAGTTAATAGGTTATTCACAATTGCTTATCAAAACTATATGATTCACAATAGTATAAGTTTAGATCTGAAGTAGTAGCTTCAGATCTAAAGCTTTGCGACACTTGTATTTAATATCAGAAAATTAGCAGTTATATTTAATTCATAATCAAAGCATCATTATATATTGAATCAACAAATATTACATAATTTAAAAAAGTAATTTTATTTATGTAAAAATAATTAAAATAAGCTTTTGTGACAAAATTAAAAATCAAAACCATTTATTTGCCTAAATACAAAACTCATTTTATTTCAGTTATAATTATTTTTTTACTAGCATAAAATATTAATTTAATAATTCTAAAAGTTTGGTACTGGGATGTAGAGTTTTTTTATGCTAATTAAATGTGAAAATATTAAAGCCATATAAATAAATGGATTTTTTCCACTATAGGATAATTTTTTAAACATAAGAAATATGCCTCTTAAATTAAGCATTTTGATAAACAAAAAATTAAAATAGGGTGACCCATTTTAAAAATGTTTTTGAAAATACTTACTTTAGAAGCTAGACTCTTTGTAGTAGAGATCTGAGTACTACTGGTTCCAGAGGGCACCAGTTAAATTATTTGTACAAAGCACAGTAAAATAATGGTGTATTTTGATTTGAATTATTAATATAATACTGGCCATTAAAATTAATGCATTATGAAGGAAGCAAGAAACAAAACTGAAACCTGCATGGAAGGTGGAATATGCTCAGATATGCATTCATTTCATGTGCACATTACAGGTATGAATAATATCTTAAAGCAATATAAAAAGACGAATTGAAATATCAGTTTTTCTCTTGAAAATCTCATTTATTGATTTTTGATGTTGGGTAGCATGTTAGGCTTTGTGTCAGAAGGAATTCATTGCAGCAAATCTAAGAATTTGGTCACAGGAGAAGCGCAGTTTATCAGGACTTTGGGTTATTATACTGCATAATTGATGTTAACACTGATTTAAGTTTTATGAGTGTTACGAGAATTTGCTATTCATTGATCCAGGAGGGTATAAGAGTGATGTGGAAGATCTGAACAGTCCCATACTCACAAATGTCTGAGATGACAAATATTTTGTCTGTCATTTCTAAAATTATCAGCCATATTAGGATCTTTGGTCAGGAAACTAAGTCTGCTGCACTATACCAAGCATCCATACAGTGCAGTGGCGTCAATGCCACTAACTGTGAGCAAGGTAATCATTGCTTTGATTTTGCTACAGCACAGTAATCAGTGCTTACAATGGGGCAATCAACTATGTAAATGGATCATCACTGCCACTATGTAAATGGATGCATCATTGCTCACAGTTGGTGGCATCAATGCCACCAACTGTGAGCAAGGTGATCATTGCTTTGATTTGGTACAGCACAGTAATCAGTGCTTACAATGGGGCAATCGACTATTTAAATGAATGCATCACTGGTGTGATGTCTTTTCTGTCAAATCTATTTTTTGCTTATATCATCATGATATTTCTGAGTGAAGGCCATAGGAGGGACAAATATTGGAAACTTTCATTTCTTATCATACTGGTGCATAACCAGACTGTTTGCATGGGTTGTCAATAAGTATGCATCTAATTCACTTGTAGTCCTCATATCCAGTACTTTGATCAGCCATTGTTACACTGAGGTTTTAATGCCCGTGGCTGTACCATCTTTACAGTCTTCATTGTTCCACCTTTCAATAGTATAGTATAAAACCATTTGTTGCCCACATTCTCTTAATTTTTCTCAATACAGAGGCTGTTTTTGACTCTTGCATCTGCAATATCTGTAACTGCTATTCAAAGTTTGTTTGACTTGCAACAGACATTTTGACAGAGACAATGATAGAGGTACTGATATTTGCATTTACTGTACCTCAAATTTACCTGACATAACCATTTCATCTTTCCATTATCACAGCTGCCAATAAGGGAATTGCTTCCCAATAATAAATGACATTTATTGAATTCATGAAATTTAAATTGTGCAAATTCTATTCCCCAAAACCTAGTGATCAGCATAATTTTTATTATTAAATCTAATTATCTGAATTGTCTTAATCTTCTGTAGGTATTTGTAGGACATTTTATGGAAATTTTGCCAAATGCTTAATCAGGTATTATTTGTATTTATTGATTTTTACATCAATAAATGCTATATTACTAGTTTTATCTACACAGTAAGTGTACCTTAATAATTTATTTCTTTATTTTCACCATATTTAAAAGTACTTTGATAGAAAAAGCTTTCTTTCCCTGCCCAGGGTTTTCACAGTATAAAAGAGTAAGAATACTGCAAAATTAAATTAGCCAGAGAACATAAAATTCATGTTTATAAAATAAATATGATTCTTCTAACTATTTTTCTTCATGATATAGCAAATTTAATGGCCTGTCATGTGTGTTAATTTATTGTAGCATAAAATGTTGTGATCAGTCGGTATGGTGGTCAGGAAAGCTGACTGCGATGCCGAAGGGCCTGGGTTCGAAGCCCGGAGAAGGCATGTTTGTAACTGTCCGTCTCTTCATAGGAAAGACGATGGGCCCACCTATTAGGTGCCTCCATAATAAAGAGACCACCACATCCGGCCTTGAGTAGATTAATGGACTGGGTTACATTTGTAATTGTTCACAATCTGCCATTGGGAGGGGGAACTCTTCTGATAATCTACAATGCCAAAAATACTAAAACTAGCCTTGGATTAAAACAATATATGTAACTGAATGCTGACCAACAGGCAAGAGTGTTTGCCAAAATTTGTTCAAACAGAATTTTCTTTGCTCTAATGTCTTCACATGAAATCTCATAAATAAGAATAAAATAATGTACAACTTGTACCATAATGCACTTTGTTTCAAGTTGTTACATATATCTTTCTGTAGAAAATTGTTTAGTATATGTTCTATGGTAACCAATAATAATAATAATAATGGGCTTAGTTTTACTTAACTCTTCGCCTGTTGAGTGATTTTCTGCGAATCCCTTTAAAACTAGTTTTGGACCGAACTTCTGTAAAATGTCGTGAAAATAACCCTAAACCTCTGAAAATTGTCAGGCAGTTCTTTTGTTATTTCCCATTCCTCCCAGAATTTTACTTCAATGATTCCGCTAAGTGAGATTGATTACTAGATATTGTTCCATAAATGTGAGCTGTCAAGAGAATTGCAAAAGACTAGAATCTCCGTGATGACCATCTCAATACCGCAGGGTACAGCTGCGAAACTTAAAAGTTTACTTCCCTAAAATTTACCCAATTAAATTTTTATTTATAACACATTTTTAACCTAAGTAACCCAAATGTGTATGTCACTGATTATCACCTGAATTTCAATGCAGACTGATTAAACTGCTATCACTAAATTCTATTCTGACAAATATCTGGTTCAACTTCCATTCCTTCTGAGATATTGCTGAAACATTTCTTATTATTTCCAATTTTCTGTATTTTTGTCATTAATTAAAAATCTTTAAAACTTTCAAGGTTTTCCTATATTTTTCAACTGCATGCAAATAATAATCTTAAATAATTTCTTTTTGCCTTAATTAATGCGTAGTTTTAAGAGTAATAAACGAAACATTTGGGTGTTATTTAAAGGTGATAATATTAATATTAAATTTGCATTTTAATTAAAATTTTTTATATAGAGTCAAAAGTCTTTAATCCGGATGTCCATAATCCGAACCTCAAAGCTACAAACTTTCTGCGCATGCATCAATGCATAATGCATTAACGCATGTGCATATGCGTCTACGCATGTGCGTAATACGTTTACGCATGCGCATTTAATGTATAACGGATAGTATAAGCTAAAATTATCTAATTATCTATTTCAGTTAATGTTGATGATTGTGTTGTTCCTTAATCTTCGAATTGGATCCGGCTTATTATTTTTTGCAGACTGTAAGAGCAATTTTATAAAAGTAAGCTTGAACTTTCGATTATGTCAAAAAGAATTTCCGATTCTGGAGCTGCCAAACGATCTACAAAGCGAAAGCATGTGTCAATGTCCATCAAACACAATGTGGAATTGCTGCAAAAATTGGATAAAGGCATATCCTTTGATTCTGTAACAATTCCGAAATATGTTTATCAATTTCACCCTGCTCTGGGGGGGGGGAGACGACGCGGCACGCAATGAACTGGAAGTTGATCTGTCAGCACTATCCTTATCTTCAGGGCAGATGTTTTTATTTTATTCGGCTTATAATTCCTTACTAAATGTAGTATTTCATCTTGGTGTACTCTGTCTTTGATATGATTTAAATCAAATTCCTCGTCATTATAAATATCACGAATACACATCAAATAGTTTTCTGATTGCAATTTTCTAATTTCAACTATATGTAATGTATGCTTTACGCATGCACGCGTTGAAAGAATTGTTTAATAAAGTAAACAAATAAATATTAAGCTTTTTTTTTTTTTTTTTTTTGTAAATTTTAATACCCTTTATATCATAATTCCTCTTTATTTTATAAATTACTGTTTCATATTTTTAATTTTATTATTTCTGCATGCCATCTTACCAGATTTAAACTGATGATCTATAATCCGGAAAAACCGATAATCCGGAATCGACGAGTCCGGATTAGAGACGTTTGACTGTACATTCAAGATATTCAGAAAGGGAATTATAACCTGAAACTGTTTTCTGTGTATTATAAATTTATTGATGCAATTTAAAAATTCTTGCTTTCCTGTCCTTTATCTGAAATGAGAAAGATGAGACATATTAATAACAAACAAAGCAATTAATTTGGAAGTCAAACAACAAAAATCAGCGTTATATTTTCAAATTTTCACAGGACTAGTTTCGATGGTTTTACCGAACCATCATACTCAGCTGCAAAAGTGCAAATGAATGAGATAAGATATAATGAAAATTAGATTCTGAAAATTTGAAAATATAATGCTGATTTGTGTTGTTTGACTTCCAAATTAATATTTGTTCGCCGTTTTATTGTA